TGGACAAGAAGGGGATTTTGAGGGGGCACAGAAGTGGAAGGACCTCATTTACTCTCATACCTTTCACTCCAGAAACCCTCAACTTCTTGCAGCTGCACTCACAAAACATTTTACCAAACATTGCTCCTCCTGATTCCTACCATTTCCTTCTTATACACATGCACGGGAAGAGGCAAGGAAGCAAGACCCCATTTTCCAGAGGAATTTTACATTACTTTCCTAGGCACACTGTTCCTTGGATATTTCAACTGCTAAACCCAGTGCTATCCCAGGCACGAAAAATATAGAAATGTATTAACTTAGCAAGCAAAATCATTTTTCCTCTTGCATCTCAATTATTTAATACTAAACAACTTCCAATGACCTAATTCCTTTAGTTTCTCTATCATCTACATATCTTAGAGCTGATACGATACCTTACATTAAACAATAACAGAGACATACTGAAACTCAGGAACACAAACCTTTTCCATCCTCTATATCTTTTCAAATAGCTTTGCACACTGTACCTGATTTTTGCATTGATCATTAACTAAATTTAAGAATTCACAAGTATTTATCCTATTTGTAATATTGAGAGGCCTGGCCTGTTCTTCAGGTATTGCAGAATACTAATGGCATTGTCAGTGTTAAAGAAAGACAAGTTTTTAAAATACTAAAAATTAAAATGCAATGGCCACCCTCAAACTAGCACGCTACATTAAACTACATCTCTTGCTAATTACGTATTTTCACTAAACATAAAAACAACAAAAACAAACAAAAAAGCACTACACTGAAGTCAGTTCACCAAGTCCTGCCAGGGTCCCTCATGTCATGCTTGCATTCCAGATGCATAACAGTCCTCACTAAAAAGTAATATTGCCAAAGGGTCATAAGATTGGAGTATTTCTAGGATGCATCCAAATATCTTATGGTTTAAAGTCAGAAAATGTACCTATACATGTCCAAACTTACAAAAGAGAAATTAGAATAATTAAGTAAGTCTAGTAGATTTTGATGCTAAATATAGGCTGCTGTTCAGGAGACAATAAAAAACACAGGATTGGAGGAGATAAAGTGTTAATCGCATATTTGGTGGTTTATGAGCCAAAGGAGTCTGAGGTTTAAACTGCTTCTGCTCAGTGCTCATCCCATTCAGAGACGATGAATCATTTCCCATTTGGCAACACTTCTGCCTACAAGGCTGTCTTCTGTGAGATTTCTCCTGTATCCTTGTAATAGATTTGCTAATTTAGTACACCTGACTTTGAGCAAAAAACTATTGTTGCCAGCTGTCAGACTAGACCTCGTCCTGTTTATCAGACACATCTAAACCATCCTGTTCTGCCCCAATCATAGAAACAGAACACTCTTTACTAATCCCAGTGCAGTAAATTACTTTCTAATATCCTTGTTTTTCTTACTCTGCCAAAATACCAACACATCATAGATTTAAAGCAACAGCAAAATCAATTTATCCACAGCAGCTGGGCTCATACCAGTTTATCCAATAACTGCTTTTTAATATTTGGTGTTCTGGTCATTCTGTCCATGAATTCCTGAGTCTCAGCAATAGAGTTTAAATTAAGGTAATATAAGCTCACAGGGAGCATATTCCAGCTTTTTAGGCAGACCTCCACATCTCTTTGAAAGATAAATCAGAGCAAAAGAAAGCATTAAAAGCCTCACACACACTAAAACATTTCCTCATTTTCCCCAGGGCTTTGTGCATGCAGAAGAAACTGCTTTACTTTCTGTTTACAAATATTTGTCCGGACAGCAGCTTAAAAGGGAAGGGTAGGGTAAGGGCTAAAGAGAATTTATTTATTTATTTTTTTAAACGAACAAACAAGAAAACCCACCCTACCTAAAAACATCAAAAAACAATTTGTGTATTACACTTCTGTTCCTAAAAACAAAAACAACAACAAAAACCACACTAGAACTTAACTTTACATTCTACATTACATACATCAGTTTTGCAGATGCAGGAAGTGGACTCTTTTCAGGTGCCCAGACTTCCAACTGCACTTTAAAAAGTTTACTGTGTATACTTGTCTATATTAGATGTTATGATACTTTTCCAAATATTTTAAAACAGCATAATCGACAAAAATACAAGAACACATCCACTCCACTAACAAAAGAAAATATGAAGTATTTACATTCCTCTCTTCTGTTTTCAGAGGGCCGTGGAACTGCTTACTCAGCTCTAGCATTTAAATCTGGCTCCGTGAATGCCTGCTGAATACCCGAGGAGCTGCACCTGAACTCCTTCACCTGCGACTGACTTTAAAGACAACTCAGAAACTGCAATTCAATGCAGAGGCCATTAACTTTGAGCTGGTTCTGCATCACCCTACGGCTGGCTTCTGCTGCATTTGCTAGCAAAACTAACCTGTATTTGCTACAAATATATAAAAATATATTAAATATGTAAGAATAGTCTACAAGTGTAGACTAGCTAAGGATCCCTACCAATGTTTTTCTTGATGAAAATAGTCATACAATGTTCAACCACAGGCCAATGTCTCGATTGACTTCACAGCAAAACAAACAAACAAACAAACAAACAAACAAACAAAGCAATAGTAAAATATGAGAAATTAAGAGCACTACCTCCATATAGGAAAGAACTGCAGGCCATTTACACTACAGGTAGCTTGGCACAGATCGCTTTTACATTACAGATAGCAGGGAGCAGTGCACAGAAAGGCACAAACAGCATTGCTACCACATGTTCAGAGTGAGAAAAGTTGTAGCAAGTTCCTAAAAATGGGTGCAGGGAAAAACAAACAAACATAATTCAGAGCAGTTGACAGCAATTTAGCAACCATATAGGAAAAGATTGCTATGACGTAGTTACATTTAGCGTGAGCCCACCTACAGGCAACCAATACAACTTTGTGGGTATGTGCAGACAACAGAAGAACATGAAGGCTGCAACAAGAGATTGTGATGGCTGTGGACACGACAATTGTCCAAGGTCCCAATTCAGGGACTTTAACAAGTGATGCCATTCTCACACAATAACCCCCATCTCTACAGACCTACCTGAGGCAGACTACCAAGCTATAACACTTCTGAGAGTGCTGATTCTAGCATACAGAGAAATGACAGTGTTTAGTTACAGAAACTGGCCACCACTTCTGGATGCACTTAAGAAGCACTATTGTTTCATTGCCCCACAACAGCTACAATCAGTCTAGTCCCCTGTAAAGCTATTGTTCTTGCAATAAAAGGCAAAAGGTCTGTATATATTTTTACAAGGTTCCTCACTGTAGCATTTGCAATGATGAATCATACTGTATTTCAAGTGTTATTCATCTGTACAATTTAAGCTAGCCCCAAGTAATCATTAAAGAAAAATATTTGCCAGGAAAAAATATCCCAGAATATGATTCATTTACTTCTGAAACAATAAAATAGTTCACTATAATTAAAATATTTACAATATAGTTATTTTTGTTAAGAAATTTAAATACAACCCAATAAAATGAAGAAAGCATGCCCTTAAAAAAAAAAAAAGTGTTCAAATAACAACAACAAAAAGGTTAGAAAAAGGTAATTCCATAACATACTGTTAGCACCCTATCTGATACAAACTACACTCTATTCTTCAGCTATTTAGGTTCATATTCGTAACAAAGATACAGCTCACCTCTCAAACACTGGCAACTCACTGTTAAACTGATAAACAGATGCTTATTTCAGCACAAAGGTGATGCATGCAGTATACCTGAAAATGAAACAGACATCTAGCTCTGGAAAGTTCAAGACAGTAACATCACAGGGATTGCTAAACAATTCCCCAGGAAGTAGTTAGGGCTTTCACAGACCTTAAAACATGAAAAAGTGGATCAGCTGAACATATCAAGAATTTAATGTCTTGATAATTGCCCAAAGCTCACAAAGAAGAGAAATAGAGCAACATTTTGGGAAAGAGGTCTTCATAGGACAGACTTTGTTTTGACCTTTTGTCAGTTAAACACTGAAAGAAAAAAGAATCACTGTAGGAATGAAGAAGTAACGCTGTACAAATATGAAAACAGTTTAAAAAAAAAAAAAAGCTGCTCTTCTTCATGGTTAGACCTTCACGGTTAAGTGCAAGTTTATTTAAAGTGAAACATAGCAGTTTCACATTCTATCAGTTCATTTATTTTTAGTTAACTAAATAAAAAAATGCATCTGATATCATTCTTAAAACTTCTCCTCACTTTGTCTATATATAGCCATTTTCGGAAGAGGTCTCTAAGAGATATTTAACATGCAACGCAATCCTTTTCTGTTGCTGGAAATACACCTGCCCTACATTTAATTTCTGAGTTCCTCCTTCACTGTAAATATTTTCAAAAATGTATGTGTTAAATAGATAATGGGAGCAAAGATCAAACTGTTTCACAGCACAGGCCACTCAGTATAAGCAAAGCACAGTGTATTATATCACTCAGCTATCACAGCAAGCTGGTCCTGTACAAATCTGGTGGCAACACACTGTAAAATTAGCGGTCCCCCCCTCTTTTATAGACATATCTTTACACAGAATGCAAAATCCATCAGGAAACATCAGTGATAAACCATTCAGGATCAATACAAATGCATTATCAAATAGACAGAGAAAGATAACTAAAAAAAAGGTCAAATCTTTCACACAATTAATTCATCATCAACAGATAACTCTTTAGATGACAGAAAGTATTATCTGTAACTCCAAAATCTTTGCAAATAGGTGTCACGTAGATTACACAAGGAAACATCACAATCTACAGAACCCAATTAATAGAAAGTCTTCTGACCCTTTTTAAGCAAGAAAATACTAGCATTAATGAAGTAGCCATTACATTGCATCATTTCTTAGAATCAAGGATTTAAAAAAATAAACAAACCACGCTTCAGCTAAAAGCTGAGGAACTCCTTTTGTTCTACATGTAAGAAGTAATCCTGATCTTATCTGCAAGCTTTTCTTAGAATTATATTATGAATCATGGCCCCTTAGATGCTAGCCCTTAATTCCTTACTTCTTCTACATAGGATCAAGGTGATGAACATGCAGAGCAAAGTAGCAGGTGGGAGATTTGTTGTTTTTTTTTTGAAGAGGAGTGTGGAGTTTCTTTCTTGCTGTTTGTTCTTCAACTTTTGTCCTCTTATCTACCTTTAACTGCTTGCATTCTTTGCATGTTATATATCTTTAGTTCTCATAAAGCACCTCTGCTATATGAGGACAGCTTCCTGTAAGACATATACTCAAATCAGTAACTGTAACATTGTAGACACAGCATCACAAAGCCAAGCATTAAAAACTTCAGAGAGGTGAGAATTCATGCTGTCCCTGCAAGCCTGGGTCTTGTTCACTGCTGCAACCTTAGAGTCCAGGCACCAAAACATTCCCAGCGTCTTGTGCTGCCAAAATCAGTCTCCACCTCCTGTCCATTAGTCCCGGGTGGTTCCTTGTTTCAGGTTACGCCCTTCTCCACCCTCACCCAACTTTTGAACCCTCAGTGTTCTGGTTATTGCCCTTCTTCACACCACCAAGGTTAGCATTAACAGGATGAGGCGGTCTCCCCGCATGCTCAGCTCCTGTCCCCAGCTGTTTGCTGAATCAGATACTACTTTGCTGACTCAAAGACATCTGCCTACTACCAGAGCCCTGTTTGATAATGTCCTGCCCAAGAATACAAGATCTGAGACACAAATTTTTTATCTCCTTGAAAAGGGTTAGATTTTAACAGACACTTCCCAAAATAAATTCAGCCTAATTTAAGCACTGGGCATGAAAAATGTGTTAACAGGCTACTTAACTTAATAGCAACTGAAAAAAAATGAGAAGCACCAACTGTAGATGGTGTCATGGGCTTCAGCTTGGTGTTACAGGTTCAACTATAGTTCTAAATTCCACTGACAGTGAATAAAAAGCAAAGATGCTCATACAGACAAAGCAACTCAGAACTGAATTCAAGTTACATGAGGCAGAAGCAACTGCAGGAACCGTCGCTCCCCACACTGCTCAAGTGCGGATGTAACACTCACAGGGGTCAAACTGTCCAGGGCCATTTTTTTCCATCTACTGCTACTCCAGTGATGCAGGCGGGTGCAGAACATGAGTAAATCCCCAGTCTTGGCCCACACCATTACAAACTGTTTAAATGTGGAGAGCAAAGTCTCTAAATTTCAACAAACGTACGCAAAATATAAAGCTTTTGAAGGGGTCCAAAGCACTATCCCTGCATAGATTAAGTTACATTATGCTGATACACAGGAAATAGCTGACTTATTCTACAGGATGAACAATTCACCAGAGGAAAGGAACTTTCAGGAAAAATGATAAATATTGTAATGAGGAAATCCGAGGCACATATTCACAATGCCACATTCAGATCTCACAAATGAATAGAAATTTCTTCATGATCTCTTGGCCACAGAAGCAAGCGAGACATGGGTAGATCGGGATATATTGCAGCTCCCCAGGCAGAATAACCATTTGCTGTTAGGGAGGGGTACCAAAAGCTTTGTCTTAGATAGGACTACAGAAATTTTAAAATCCTATTAAGACAGGTATGGGGAGGGCATTATGAACGGCAGGAACAGACAATTTAAGGAGAGGTGAGAAACTATACAACTATTTTCTGACAAGCCAGGTATGATGTTTATACCACTGATAATTACTGTAAGCCGCTTTCTCCGTAAAGGCCTTCTCTATCCCTTTTACAGAATTAAGTAGAAACCAACAATATTTAAAATCATTCTTCGACCCAGTTCTTAAGTAGAGATCCCAAACGTGAAAGATTCTCACAAAAAGGCTACCATAGAACTTGACATCACAACTTCAGGCTAAATCTCAGCCAATCCTGCATTAGTACAATCACAAAAATTCAAAGCCTTCAACTTTTTAACAAATACACAATTATATAAGGCATGCCCTGATTATTGCCTGGCATCTTGAATTTACAGATGGCATTTGCTTCTATAAGAAAGCATGGGCATTTCACATGTGCAGCAGCATTAATTAGTTTGACCAGAGGTCAATAGCAATTTTCCCCAATCCACACTTTACCAACAGTTTCTTACAAAAACGTGTGATATATACATTTGAAGATTCTGTTCACCCAGATTCCTAACACCTTGTACTGAACATCCAGAATTGCTAATTAGACACTTGGGAACACTACTTATATGACCCATTTAAAATTCTGAAAGACGGCACTTAGGATTTTTACAGTTGTTCACAGGCTTTGATTACTAGGAAGATTCTGTAATAGCAGCATAAAACATTTGTTAACTTTCTCCTAGAATTCTCTAAATAAAAGCTCTAGAAAGTTTCCATTTTAACAGGCATTACACCTGTCTTTAAAGTTTGGTCATTTAATACCTCATACACTGTGAACTCCAGCTTGAAGGTGGCAGTCTTCCTTAATTTCTTAAAGAGTAAAGCTCTACTACCATTTAGATGTTGTACTTCACAGCATGAATATATTGTCTCTCTCTTAAAATACATGCCTGAATATTAGCATGATCAAAACGCAATCATCACTACTACATGGCTAAGAGCAGAATTTGTAACCAGCAACATGAAATACGATGGAGATTTCTGTATGTTTTACCCAAGTACAGGACCCTACTTTTGTTTTCTGCTTCCACTCTAAAATGACAGAACTGTATTGCCCCTCCACATCCCTCTGTCAGTGCAGCTCCTCCAGCTGGTTCCTGAACACATCTGCCTTTCCTTGTCCTGTTTCACCATTACTAGTGACTCTTTTCCCCTCCAAACAACCACTAAACACCTACCTACACCAGCTCCATTTTCACAAAGTTTCTTAGATCACATTTGATATCACCTCTTATAAACCATGACAGAAGTATTTATGCCACTAAACAACAAAAAGGACACCTTAATATTTCTACACCTAGGAACAATGCTACTACCCAGAACAATAAAAGGGTAAAAAATATCTGTTAAGAGTCAAATTGAAAAATTATTTGCCATAAGGACACCTAAATATTTGGCATAATTAACATGACAAATTTCTCATCTCAGGCAGTTAAGCATGAATGTAATTCTATACATTTTACCTGGACACGTTCAGTTCTTTTAAACACACATTTAAGAATGTATTTATTTTTTCAACAAGCCATAGTCATAAACACTCTAACCCAGATATATCTTTCTTCCCCCACCAAGAAAGATGATTCATTTTAGTACATTTACATTTTTCCCTAAGAACACTTGCATGTAGCTGACTACCTTTTACTCAAGTGAAGCAAACTTTTACTGAGTACACTCCATCTACGCTCCTACGATTTGCACAAAGTAGCAGTTTTGCCACATGCAACTTTAGAAGCACACAGCCTGGTCTTTATTTGTATTATTAAAAAAATCACCACGTTGGCTCAAGTTTTCAGGAAGCATCCCTACTATTACTGATACAGATTCTCACCTCCAATTAAATACGAGCATGATTGCATCTATAATTGCATTTATTTATGCAGCTATACACCGAACTCCGCATCAAGTAGCTAGGTATGTTAAAAAGAAGCATCATTACAGATATAATTAGTTCTGACTCCACTTAACTGCATTAGTAATATTAAAATCTGGGTCAAGGCAGAACAAAAATGAATGTATGTCACTGGTTTAAAACTGTTTCCTGAGATGGATAAGGTAGGCCCCCAGCCCCACAAACAGCCTGCTGTTCCGCAAGCACCTGGCTGGCTTAAGTCACTGCTCACCCACACACAAGCCCACCCACAACAGACCTCCTCTATGCCCAGTTAAAAAGAGGGATGAGAGGAAGAGATTGATTTTAACTCGGATATATTTCTCAGCCCATCCTGTGTGCCAGCACAGCACGGAACAGAGGGATGCGTGCATCCTGAAAATGGTGCTGTGGGTGGAAGTGCTCGCACCATGGCATTGTCACTCCGCGTCTGTGGCAGTACGGCACCACACATGCTAATTTAAGCAGGAATAGTAGAACCTGGGTACATATTTTTACTGTGACCTGAAAATAACAGTTTGTAAGTGCTCTGCATATTTGAAACAACTTAAATGAATTCATTATAGAAAGTACACACTGAACAGCAGCAAATGACACCACCAAAGCCATGGTTGGAGCAACTCTCCCTTTCTGCAACAAAATCCTTGTCACTTGTGTTAAATACATACTGATCAACTCTTTCCAGAAAATTAGCAACAGGATACAGCCATATAAACTGAAATATTGCTTTTTCTTTCACTTTCAGAATTTTGAGGATATGAGTAACACATCAGCTGAGCAGTACTTTTACACACTTCTGGAGAGATCAATCCTTTTAGTTTAATTTCCCTGAGCAACAACCAAAAAAATCTCTTAAGTAGTTTAAAGTATAAAAAAGTAATTGCCAAGAACCCGCAGCATGCTAAAATACAGCTGATAGCATAACACAAATATACTGTGTGAGAGAGAACTGACCCTGAATCACCCCAAATGCATAGTCCCAGAAGGCCCAAAACAGAACCACGTTTTCTGTGGATTTACGTTCAAGAAGAACCATGTCCATGGGCAGAAAGTCAAAAGATAATGGCTCTAAATCCCAGCTTTACCTGGTTTATCCTTTTTATGATCTCAACCATGTCAATTCTCTATTCTGGGCCTGTTTCCCCACTTAAACTGAGATGATAATGCTTAGCCAATTTAGTCCCGAGCTTTGTTATCTACAGATGAAGATTTCTTTAAAGTTACAAGCATTCTTATCTATGCTTTCTCTGAGAGTATTTAAAGTTTAAGTAGCAAGAAAAAGTCAACAGTTTGCTTCCTTGAATACGCTATCGTCAAACATCCCACAAGATTTTGATCCTCTTTCCCCAAGAGGAAATGCGCTTTGCTAATAGCAGAAACAAACAGGAGCTGCTCCTGTATGAATTATCTAATATTACTGACATTAATCTTCACCAGCCTCTCAGAAGTCACTAAAATGATCTCAGACACCGCATGTGTCATGAACACTTAAATTCTATGTAATAAAGCACACACAAAACAGCCGGCATAGCAATGTACACGTGCCATGAAGTCGCGTCAGAAGTCCGGTCATCTCATTATTGCGATGACAGGAGGGAAGACACCCAAAGAAATTACCCACATCTTCAAACACATGCAAGAAAGATGTGGCCCAATGGCAAGATGTCATCTTAGGTAAGATGGCAAAGCAAGGATAAAGATACACTTCAAAGGCCATGAGATAAAACAGAACAAAACATTAAAAGCTGTCTTCTTTTAGGGATCAACTCATTCACCTTAAGGACACAAAGATAAAATGTCTTCATCTTGGGCCTGATCAGATTTTCAGTGATTAACAAAAAAGAAAACAGAAAAGAATTTGTCACTGATAGTTGAGTTACTCAGCTACGCAGACAGACATTATGGTATAGCTTAAGCTCTTTAAATGTAACTGAAAAGTGCAATTCTGAAAACC